AAAATTATTTGTATGTAAAAATTAAATGTGGTATTTATGGATTTATTAAATAATGCTATTCTCTGTTGATTGTGAAAATGATAATAACATAACTGTAGAATCAGAATAGTCTTTTGGGGCTGAATTGAAAATCTTTGGAAGTATTTAAATTTTGAGATATTTGTATTTATGAAGAAAAGTACCCCCAAAGAAATATTATTGAATAGAGAAGGTTGTTTAATATATGTATTTAGATTATGTCCCAAATTATATGGATAACGAAAAATGCTAAATAAAACTGTAGGAAATTTTGAATAGGAAAGGATGAAGAAGTAGTAAAAGCAAGTACACTATTCATATAAGGTCAGTAGGAATTACAAGTAAAATCCTGGTTTTTTTTCAGATTTCACTTTTTTTTTTTTTTTCTGAGAGATTTTTGCTATAGGGCACGTGCACTTGCTAGAAAGACAGAGAGACAGAGAGACCGAGAGCAAGAAATCACCCCCCGGGGAGATGGCCACATCGCAATCCCTTTTCCTCCATTCTTCTCTCGGGATCTTGGGCACGCACGCACACGTGCCCGGCATGAGTTTAAGCCACCGGGTCCGGGACTCGAACCTCAGTCAACTACATGGGAGTCCAGTGACATAGCCATTACACTAACTGCTGGTCCTCAGATTTCACTTTTTTAAAAAACTTTCTATGTCATTCCTTTGAATTTTTGCAAGGCCCCAACTTCCCGTGAACAATTAGGTATTTTATTTTTAATTAACACTAGGTGTCATGAGTGTAGCACTCTGTTCTTTCTCACTTCAACATCTGTGTCTCTCTTTTCTATTAATGGAATCTGACCCAATTTCCAGTGTCAATTAGGAAAACCTTCTCTGATGTAGTTTTCAGCTTTCCTCAGTAAAGGCTGCATGCTTCTAACATGCAATTTATTTTAAGAACACTATTAGTAGAAAAAAATTACAGCATATTGTTTTAGTGATTATTCCATCAATCAGTCTGCAAAAATATGTAAGCCATCACTAGCCATCACTATTTGCTGTAGGTAGGAAAACAAACCAGCAAAACCAGTGAATAGCTTTTCTGCTGTCTTTGATTTTCATATTAAAGTTTATTTTGATGTCATTTTTTTACTAATTTATTTAGAAGTTCTTATATTATGTACAAGCAGAAGTTACTTACCATAGAATGTCAAGTAGCCAAAAATGGCAGTCAAGAAGTACATCACAAACATGGCAAAAAATGAGATATTTGAAACCATCTGCATTTTTTTCTGTGAGCGACTAAGAAACAAAGATAAAGGAATTTGAGAAGTTAAAATAGCATGTTATTGCATTGGCACACCAGTGTTCCCCTGAAGAATGCTAACTTAACTTCCCTTCTATCAGGTTAGGCAGATCTAATGAGCTGAAACTATCCCTGGGAATAATGCTAGTTTACCTCTTTTGTACCAAATGGGTATTATGAGGGCGAGACTCATAGAACGACACTCTTTGAATGTTCTTCTCCATGCTTTTCAAAGAATATTGAGTTCTCATCTGAAGGGCAGACAGTGCTTTCTAACATTTGTGTTTGATAATTATCTCTCCACTGTACACAGGAAAAAAGGTCAGAAAAAAATGCAAGTGTTGTTCTCCTAGCCCCGGAAATGGATGGCAGAGCTGGCCCTTGACTTCAGGTGCTCTGTCTCAGAAGCTGCTATATAGGTTCTGCTTTTCCCATCGAGTAGCCCAAAGACATGCTTGGGTGTCTGTATATCTCCAGAGCTATAATAAGTACTCAAGAGATCACAGCTGTGAGGATAAAAGGCTATCTCTTAGGTCAACTTTACTCTGGGGTTAGGATGACCCTTTAAGGTTTTTTTAACTGCCTGAATAATTAATCTACATGACTTGTATTAATAACAGACCAAACCACAGATAGTCCTAACATTTGGTTGTGTCCTGACAGGGAACCTGGAATGTTATGGGAATATAGAAAGCAAGAAAAATTGAGAAATATACTGTTGAGAAAATTACAAACTAAAAGCTGGACTGTTATATTAACTTATTTATTTATTTTTGGCCAGAGGGCGTATGTGCTCGCCAAAGAGAAAGGGAGAGAGAAAGAGAAGCTGGAAAGCACACCCTATAGGACAGGGTCGTGCCCTAGTCCCTTCTCTGTTTCTCCCTCTTTCTGGGATTTTAGGCTCGCATGCATACATACCCAGGGTATTTCTCAAGCCACTGGGCCAGGATTCAAACCACACAGTCAGCCATGTGGGATCCAGCCACCTTAACCACCAGGCCACAGGCTAGCCCTGAATCACTACATTTAAAAGATGCCAGTCATATTTAAATTCTCTAAATATAGCATCATAAACTAGGAATGATATATATGTAGACAAACAAGTGCAAGTATCTCAAAATTTAGCTTTGTGTTGATTAAACATGAGGAGAATGGCAAGTGAATCCCATGCTAAATGACATCACCTTTATTTTTGTTTCAAAATGGAAATAAATATTGGGTTGTCAGAAAAGTCATGACGTATTTTTTATGCTTTTCTATGTGAAAATGCATCATGACTTTTCCGGCAACCCAATAGCTATATTTTTTGAGCTTAAGATTATGTCACAATGCCTATTTTTATATAGAATAAGTCTGATAATGGTCAACTAAAAAGAGGACACAAGAATTAACTTGTAAGCAGGTTTTTAGTTTCCTCTAAAACAACAATAAAAAATAAATCCATAGTATCATCTTAATAGTTTAAAAACAATATTCTTATTTTTAGTTTGTGGCCTTGACATTTTTATAATCTAATTTGCTAGCCTTTCTACCAAAACCAACAGGCAAATCAGAGACAATGTAGCTGGCAGTTTACAGGTGAACCTGAAGGTTATCATCCACTTGGAAAATAATCAGACATAAGCAGAAAGTAACCCAAATACTTGAACTCTCCTAGTCATATAGTATCTGAAAAAACAAATAAAGTAAAAAACAACAACAACAACAACAATAAAAAACAAACCCAGTGCTCACATGACTAGTCACAGCTAAAAAATAACTCAGTTTTCTGGTTTTTCTTGGTTTTGTTTCTTTTTCTTTTAATTGCCAGAGGGCACATGTGCTCACCAGAGAGACAGAAAGATGGAAAGGGAGAAGGCACCCTTCTATAGTGTGTGGTCACACCACAACCCCCTCTCCTCCATTTCTTCATCTTGTTGGGATTTTAGCACACACATACCTGCTCTTAGTGTGTTAGCTACTGGGCTGGGATTTGAACCACGGTCAGCCATGTGCTATCTAGCTTCTCCTACCACTAGGACATGGGGCCAGACTTGTTCTTGTTTTGTAAAATACAGTACAGTACTTGCTCCAGAATGGCCTAATGTTACTAAAGTTGGAGCTGGGTAACAGATCTGTGGAGGTTCATAATACAAGTTTGTATACTTTACTACAGTACTTGCCTATTAATGAGGATAAGTAAAATGGTAACATTATAAATATTAGCAAATATCTTACTCTTTAAGCTCACTGTAAATTGGCAGGACTGACGGGTGACAGACAAATGCAAATGCAATCGTCGGTAAAGCATACACGGTCTGTATGAAAGAAGAAAATAAACATTAAGAAAAGACATTTTCACCACAAAAATTAAACAGCCCCAGTATTTCTGAATGGTCATTTTATCTGACAGCTCTTCGGTATCCCTGGATTATTTGGTTATTAGGAGGGTTTTGATCTCCAAAATAGGAGCAGCTTTTCGAAGAGAGCTTATCTGGCTTGAGCCATTAGGCACTTGTCACAGAGGGTCTTTAGATCTGGCTCACCTACAGCATATTTTATACACTCCAGGTACAGTAACACCTGTGGTTCATGTGGCACCAGCCACATTATCTCACTGTGTCCCCATAGCAGCCCTGAGCGGTAGCCATGGCTGTTCTGACTTCCTCCCACAGGTTAGGTGCCTTGCCCAGGACCTCCACCTCTATGTTACTGCACGTTGCTCTATATCAGCTACATCAGATGAGACTTAAAAGATGGCATCTAAAAAGATAGTTCTACATTGTACTACTTCGCTTGCATCCTTAAGTTTAAAAGAAAGAGATTTATTTGTTCTTAGATAAGACTTTTTTAAAACTCTCCAACTCAAATTCTTATGCAAAAATAAGCTAGCAAAAAAGAAGGAAAAGTAACGTATCTTATGCTCTAACTCTGCTGAGGCACCGTACCAGGCCCAAAGCCCTGTAAGATAGAGTAGAATCCTCATTTTTATACCAGGGGTTTGGTGAGTGCCTGAGGAGTCAAATCAAGCCTGGCTGAATATATAATCACTGTTCTCCACACTATCAACAATATCCTAATAATACAAAGTCTTTAAAGTGCCCATTTGTGGTGGTATCTGTATTTCTACTGTAAAGCTGAGGAAGTCTGCAGTATTCCCTCCTGTCACCACCATAAAAGAAACAGTGAGCTAGAGATGTTATTCATCTGGTTTTAAAGCATCACCCAGCACTGCACATAGGAAAAGGAAAGCTGAGACAATTTCCCAGAAAGAGATTTTCACAGACAATACTTAAGGTTGTCCTACATGTAAATTGGGTAAGGAGTGTGATATATTGGGTCGTCGGAAAAGTCATGATGTGTTTTTCTATGCAAAAATGCATCATGACTTTTCTGACGACCCAATATTTGTGTATTTCCCGAATGTCTCAAAATGGATTGTGAAATATAGAAAGAATGGTATCGTGTGTTCTTTTGAGAACAAATACATTCAAAACAATATAGTTAACAAATATGGGAACTTTAATGCTCTTAATTAAAAAATGCTTGTTTTATTCTTTAAAGGACAAAGGAAATTTACCTTTGAATTGAAGGTAACATATTTTGGCGTACACATGCCAATATTTGTTGAATTAGCATTCATTGTTGAATTAAGCTCTGAAACAATGCAGGGAATTTGAAATTTCTTGTAGATGACCTGTTTAAAAATTGAAGAGAAACAACATAGTTTTTTTTTTTTTTTTTTTTTTTGAGAGATTTTTGCTATAGGGCATGCCTTTTGCCAGAGAGACCGAGAGGTAGAAAGCAAAAAATCACTCCCCCCCAGAGGGGATGGTCACAATGCAATCCCTCTCATCCATTCTCCTCTCAGAATTTTGGGCATAGATGCACATGCACCCAGCATGAGTTTTAAGCTGCCAGGTATCTGGAACTCAAACTGCGGTCGACTACATGGGAGTCCAGTGATGTAACCATTATGCCATGTGCTGATCCCAATGACAGATTTTATTAAAGCCAAGTAACGGGCAATTATGACATGGCAAAACTGAACCAATCATTTCAATCAACACTTACCACTATTAGGAAAAACACCATACAGCTCAAGGAAAACCCACTAGTATAGCCAAGATACCCTTTTAAAAAAATGATAAATAAATGTTAGTTCATTCATTATTTCATTTTTTTCAATGTATTATTTCAAGCATTGTTTAGTTTCCAGTAATATACATATATGCCCTTGTGAATACAAGATTTATTGTTTGACAGTCCTACTATTTTGGGCAAAAATGGGGCTTTGAATAAAAATATTATGTGTGTTGATTCTAGTTCTCCCTGGCACACAAGAGAACACAGATTCCCAGAATCCAGGAGAAAAAAAGTCTCCCAATTTTGGTACGTGCTAGTGTACTCTGATGGAGTCCTACAGGCAAATCAATTTACTCCTTGGTCCCTTCGAAAGGTCTTTATTATGCACTTACTGTGTGCATGCTGAATGTCAGTTACAATACTTCTCTCCCAAGACGAGAGGCACAAAGAGAGTAGATAAAAAGAATTTCTAGGGATAAATTGAGTATCTGGGGATCTTGACATCACTCCCCTTAGAATGCCTAGGAGATTTCTGGCTGCCACTTTAACTTCCAGAAAGGGAGAGTTAAGTGGCTTCTCAGGGACTGTTATTCTCACCCCTGGGGTAGAGACTTTATCTACATAAACTGAAGAGAGCTATTAATATATCCTTAGGTATAAAAGAGCCTGAACACAGATTCAGAAACTAGAAAATTAAGTAGTTAAAAAAACTACTTATAAACTTTAGCCATAAAAGTCTGAGAGTTTTCATCCAAACAAAACAGAAAACTGGTTCATAATTATTTTTGGAATAAATTTAATCTAAAACTTCTGTCTTAAATTAGCCCAGAATTAAAGTAAATGCCTTTTGGAGGTTTTTTAACTGAATGGTGGTCTGACCTCATTATTCAATGTATAAAGTTCTCTTGACATCAGATATAATCCTCTCCAAATACAAGCATAAAACCAAATGTCCAAACCAATGGATATGACTTGGATACTATCTGTTATTTTTTATTCTGACTTTCCTCTTCCCCTTCAGTGATACAAATAATTGAGATTGGTCAGTTTCTCTAAATTTAAGAGTGAGCCATAATAGTCTTGGGTATAAATATTGGGTCTTCAAGAAAGTTATGATGCATTTTTGCATAGAAAAACATAAAAAAAATTATGACTTTTCTGATGACCCAATATAAGCAACTTTATTTCCTGATATTAGATTTGAAAATCCAATGAGAATTCCATTTTCTGGACCTTTCTTAGAGTACCCTATAAGTTGTGCTATTGAAAATAGTAGTTTGTTCTGACCCCAGAACCTCTCTTCTCCCCTCCACAGCTTAGTAGAGGGATTGCTTAAGAGGGTACATACAACCAGTGTTTTTTTGCCATATCAATGAATACTTGCAATTTATCATTAACTTAATCTGTACCCTACAAGAGAAAGCAGAAGGCAGGAGTGTTCATTTTTAGTAGGTTTCTGATTCATTTGGGCATGGCAAAGACCATGATAAAACCAAGAGCTTTCCTTACCCAAATTCTTCAAGAGACACAGAGGGAGAATTATGCCAAAGGTAACCATCACCACCAGAACTCGGCCATCCACGTACCAGGCTCTGAAAGGCATTTAAGCAGTTAGGTTATCACTTTTTTATAAAGTGATTTTTATTTTTCTCAAATGTAAAATTTCACGATATATGTTAATTATTTTTACTATTAATTATTTTCAGTTTATGATGAATACTGTTGCAGTCTTCCCTGGTTATACATGGGGGTTCCAGAATCATCCTCTTGGATGCCAAAATCTATGGATGCTTAATTACCTTACATAAAATAACACAGTATTTGCATATCACCTATTCATCCTCCCTATACTAGAAATCAACTTTAGATACTTAAAAGCAGTCTTAGCATCAGATATAAGCAAAATAAAAATATAAAGAGTCTTCAAAAAGCTCTTAGAAAAAGAAAGGTTATGGAAGAACTATGCAAGGATTTCAAATTTTTTTGTACCAGAATAAACTCATACTTTAATTTCATTTTCCATAATCTTTTCGAAGTACTCTCATATACAGATAAACTTCATCAGCATCTCTCTTGTAAGGGGCTTCTTCTCCCCCTATTTCATAACCTCTTCCCCTATTTCTATATCTGTAGCCAGGTCATATGAAATTTCATAACAATTGGTATGATCTGGCTACAGATATAGAGGGATGACTGTATTAAATTTTTAAATCATTACTCAGTTTTTATTCAAACACTTTAACACAATCACTACTCTTCTACTACTGCCCCACTCCCATGTAATAGAAGAAGTGATATTGAGTTTTCCCCTCCCCCCTTGCCTAAATGTGGCATTCTTTTGAATCATTTATGTGGTTTCAAAGCTGAATGCATACACCACATTCTGTCAGATTACAACTGTCCTATCAATTATTTAAAGAGAAAGTTCCTTTTTGTTTTCTTGTCTAATATCACAGAGAAACAAGGCACCACAGGTGGGCATTTCTCTCTCCCTGTTCCCTTGGATTTGACCTTGAAACCTGAGGGTTGGATTTGGAACTCTGGCTTCTACAATTATCCCATCAAAGAAAACTGAAAAAATAAGACTGCCAAGAACTGTTAAACAAGAGGGAGTCAAAACATGATTGTTTTCCAAATGTAAGTGCAACATTTCCAGGTTTAGCCATATTTTTTATGAGATTGGCTCATATAAACTTTGCTCCCAAAATGTTATTTCCCAATCTTTAAGAATGAGACTAAACAAGGCCAGCTGGTGGCATGGTGGTTAAGGCACTAGATTCCCACCTGGCTGACTGTGGTTAGAGTCCTGGACTTGGCTCTTGATAATCACACTGGGCATGTGTGTGTGCATGCCCAAAATCCTGAGAGGAGAATGGAAGAGGGGATTATGGCGTGCTATCCCCCTAGGGATGTGTGTGATTTCTCACTCTCTCTCTCTCTCTCTCTCTCTCTCTCTCTCTCTCTCTCTCTCTCTCTCCAGCAAGCACACTCTACCTATAGCAAAAAAAAAAAAAAAAGAGAGACAGTGAGAGAGAGAGAGAGAGAACTAGGATCTTATAATTTTTTTTTCCACATGTTCTACTTCTGTGTTAAAAATACTCCATAGTCCTTATCTGTTCCATTTCAAATGAAAACTAGATATAGATCCCAGGCTCTTGGGAAAGTGCAGTATCTACTGTTTGCAGCGTAACAGATGACTCAACCTTTTAAATGTTCATTCAAATGGCTCTCCCTGCTACTTTCATTTATATACCCCCACCCCCACTTTATTATTGAAAACAAGAAACAAAGATTTAAAAAAACAGCCTGGGGAGAACTTTGTTACTGCAATTTTTGTAAAACAAAAATGCTAGTTAGCCTACATTTAAATTAAAAGGATTTTAGTTGTATCACAGAAAATGGTCTATAACTTACGAAAATGACTCTTCCTTTCCCATGAGAAACTTTATGGCAGAGGGTAGTTCATTTTTTACTATGAAGAGGTAGCTCAGCATTGCTAGAGGAAAATGAGAACATCTTTAGAAAGAAGATACCTAGGCTCACATTGCAAGCTATATAAAAGGTTACCAGCCTGTTCTTAAACTAACCTTCAGTAAGACACAAAGGCAGCTACAGATTCTCTAGCAACATATTGGGCTTTAAATGACTGTCATCTCCACATTACTTTCTATGTGCCATTTTAGCAATGAGAATAATAAAATTCATGTGGCCACCCAACCGCCAGAATTAGGAAAAGAGAATAATATTCACATCCTTCAAAATTATATATAGAGACCCAGCTGTGGTGATGCAGGTGGCAAGGCACCACTGTGTGGTAGTGGAGCCATGCAGGAAGCCCAGGTTTGGACACTGAGTCCACCTAAGCACATCGGGCATACCAGCGTGTGCCCATGATCCGGGCTGACAGGGAGGCTGGGGAGAAGGGAACCTGTAGCATGGCAATACCCTGCAAGGTTATCTGTCATTCAGTTTCTTTCTCTCATGAAATAAATAAAAATAAAATAAAAATTTAAAAAGGTTATACATAGAAAAACATGTTCTTTTTACCTCCAGTGTTCTGTAGAGAGGTGGCTCCAAAGATTACAAGCTTCCCTGTGGTGCCAAAGACTTGTTCTCCCAACTTTTCATAAACCATGCAACCTATTTAAAAATCAGATTTGAGAGCACAAGAAATGACAGGGTTCTAAAAGTTAAAATTGTCAAAATGTTGTTATCCTATTGACCATTCCCTAAGTCATCGTTTGCCTTTCTCAAATTGCACAAATAGCCATCATGGCTTTGCAAGGGTAAAGGGAATTTTCATTATAAAACGACCTCTTGACATTTTTAAATGTCAGGCATGACCACTGGTTCCCCATTTTCAAGTAGGCTACAAAAGCATTACCATTAAACTATTATTTTTAACTATCTCTACCTTACTGGGGGGGAATTTCCACTCTGATTGTTTTCTCAGGTCTGGTATATATTATTAAAATAAAGATTTGAATTTTTAAAATCCTGATGGTTAAGACAAAAAGATTCCTTTTGAATTAATTACCTGAACCAATTAGGCTAACAAACAATTATCTTCAAAACACCTCATCCATACCTCTGGTGTCCTAACTAAGTTTAGAAACATCTAATAGTCATGGCATAAGAATTCTGATGATTCACAGAATTTGTTTCAAAGGAATGCAACTCGCAACACAGAGCAGCAGACAAATCTGTCAAAGGAATAATTTGGCTGTAGCAAAATGCTCAAGGGTTCATCTAGCTCATCTTGGACATTCTAAACCATTCATTGTTTTAAATAAGTGTTTATATTTCTTTATGACAATTCAGTTAGTGTTTTCCAAAGGCTCACAGAAAGCAATACAGGTCAGGCTATAATTAAACTTTTGTTTAATCTCTCAAAAGACAGGTGTTTAAACTAGGCTATGGTTAGATCCTCAATTTATCACAAAATGTTCCAGTTAAATAGAATTGAGCATATACAATAATATTTGGCCAATGTGGTTTTAGCTAATGCAAAAGTCAAAGTGTTAGAAACATAACCCAAAGTCCCAGGAATAGAAAATAAACACTTCAGGCATTACACTGCCCAGAGTACTTGAAATCTCTTCATAGCTCCCTCACTCCCACATTGCCTCAGGAGTCACATTTTCTCCTCGGAATATGTATGAAACATAATGAAAAGTGTCTTTATTTTTAAAGACCTTGGGCCATAATATAAAAACATGAGACCTTTGTTCCAGATATATAAAGATCTAAAGAAAACTTGAAGCCTTTCAAATGAAGTCATCTTAAACTAGAAAAACAAGTATAGTGGAGAGCTCACTTTAAATGAAAATGCTATTTTCTCATTGCCCATGACAATTTTATTTATATTTTACTTCATCTGTTTCTTTTTTATTTTTTGGGGGGGAGGTTTTTGCTATAGGGCGCGTGCGCTCGCCAGACAGACAGAGAGAGACAGAGAGATAGAAAGCGAGAAATCACCCCCCCAGGGGGGATGGCCACGCCGCAATCCCTTCTCCTCTTGGGATCTTGGGCATGCATGCACACGCGCCCGGTGTGAGTTTTAAGCCACTGGGTCCGGGACGCGAACCGCGGTCGACTATATGGGAGTCCACCTACATAGCCATTACGCTAACTGCTGGTCCCTGCTTCATCTGTTTCTCTAGGTAAAATATCTATAGCTCTACTTGTTTCTATAGGTCAAAGTAATCTTTCTTTTTAATAATCAAGTTGTTAAACAGAGAAAATATCATTTGTTTATCATATCACTATAAAAATCATTTACCCTGACTTTAACAAACTTAGACATAATCCCAGCTTACCTGTTTCCTTTGAACAGATCAATAAAAGGTTTATTGAATATATAGACAGCAATGTCACTGATGTCAAAAGTATCCTAAAACAAAAATGAACAAATAAATGAGTCATGTAATAACTAGAAAAGAATATTTTCCTACCTTACATTTTTAAGAGAGCAAAGGTTTATTTATATTGTTAACACTGTTTATTAATAGAATCCAAATTTTGGAAGCTATTAGTCACCTCTACTTTAAAATACTCAAATAAATAAGTCATGTAATAACTAGAAATGTAAAACTACCTTACATTTTTAAGAGAGCAAAGGTTTATTTATATTGTTAACACTGTTTATTAATAGAATCCAAATTTTGGAAGCTATTAGTCACCTCTACTTTAAAATACTCAATAAAAATGTTCTACCAAATAAAGAAGTGCTCATTAGAATCCAAGTAACTAACAGCTCAAATCCCTTATGTACTTTGGAGCCCAAATAGCACTCTGGGAACATTTCGGTTGAAGTGACTTTAAAACATTATAAAAGAAACCTTTGTTACCCTATGGTTTATTCCCTACTACATCTGGTGAGAAAGTATACGGAAAGGGAGTCAATAAATAAGGGGTGGTGAAGCGAAAGGCAGTGACCTCAGGAGAATGACCTCGTTGACTTTGGGCTACTTGCCTAACTTCTCCCATCTCTAGATTCCTCACCCATATAAAGACACAAGCCAAATGATGTCCAGGGTTCTTTTCGTCTATCATTCTATGGGTATTTTTTGCACCTATGTATTTCAATATTAATCTAATCTTTTGTTGCTGTTGTTGTTTTCCTACCTAGTTCGTCTTAGTGGGGGAAATTTGACAATCAAGTATAATGAAAGGACTTTTTTTTTCTTTAAATTAATCTTTTTTTGTTTGTTTTTTTCCTACCTAGTTCGTCTTAGTGGGGGAAATTTGACTATCAAGTATAATGAAAGGACTTTTTTTTTTCTTTAAATATTGATTGTAATTTATGATTCACATATAATCATTATACATCTTTGTAGGTTACAGAACGGTCTTTAAAAGCATGTATACAGTCTGTAATAAACAAATTGAGGATGCAAACATAATTCACCACCTTCAACATTTAACATTATGTTGTGAACATTTGAAACTCATGCCATGGTTATTCTGTGAGTATGTCTGAATTGTCTATGACATTCTTTACTGTGAGGTACAATTCTAAAGAAAAGTATATTGATTAAAAATCAGGCAGCAAATAATCTCACAAGTTAACAAAGATAATCTTAACATAGTTGATGAAAGAAGAACTTGTAATTTTCATGTAGAGGACTGTGGAGATAAGTTTATAGTCTGAAAAATCTGTGGGTATCAATCATTGGTTCAGCTGGAGACAGGTAAAATTGTACATAAAAATAGCTCATTAGGAAGAGATAGAAAAACAACACTTCCACTCACACATTGAGTTCTTGTAAGACCATAGTACTGTACTGTGCATAAAAAAATAAGTCCTTGAAAAAGCAAAGATAAAACAAAATTGCAAAGAGATGTTTAAAAGTGGACACATGGAAAAGTCAATGATTTGATGATTTATGGGCTTTACAAAGCTTTTTATTTTAGTTTTCTTTTTTAAATTCAGTTCAAAGAAAGACTCAGCTGTAACATGTTGGATTTTTTTCTCTATTATCTAGTTCTATACAATGAGTAATGGTTATAACAAATATATAAATTGAAATCTGGGGAGACAGTTGTCTATCAAATAATTGGTGGATTTGTATTTAAGCCTGCTTGCCTATAAGACTGTTGAATCTACATTTGGTCCCAACATTCAATGCTATTATCAATATGTGTTCACTTATCTTTTTATCCTCATTGTTTTGTGTTCACTTACTTCTATTTGTCTCTCTTTAGTTTTCTTGGTATAGTAGTCCCTTAAGGATTTCCTAAACAGCTAGATTTGTTTTGGTGAATTCTTTTAGCATTCATTTTATCTAGGAATGATTTTATTTCCTCTTCCTATTTGAAGGATAATCTTGCTGGATATAGTAGTGTTGGCTGACACTGCCTTTTTTCAGAATTTTAAATATGTCTTCCCATTCTTTCCTTTCCTTCATTGTTTCAACTGAGAGATATGATGTTAGTCTAATGGTATAATCTTTGTAAGCAACTTGGCATTTCTCTCTTGACATTTTTAGAATTTTTTCTTTGTCTTTGATTTTTGCCAATTTGGCTATAATATGCCTTGGAGAGGATCTTCTTATATGTATTTGGTGTCCTTTGTATCTCCTGGATTTGAATGTCTGCATGCCTCTCCAAATTTGGAAAGTTTTCAGTTAATATATTATGAAGTATGTTTTCTATGCCTTAACTGGTCTCTTCATCTTCTGGAATACTTATTATGTGGATATTTGGCCATTTAATGGCGTTCAGGATTTCCTGTATATTGTCTTCATTTTCAGTGGTTATTCTTCTTCTCCATTGCATGGACTAAATAAGAGGTTTTGTCTTCAAGGTTAGATATTCTTTGTTCTGTGTGATCTAATCTGCTGTTGATACTTTCAAAGGAGGTTTTGATTTTCTGCAACATATTTTTTTTAATCTCCAAAAGTTCTGTTTGATTCTTTTTCAGTGTGTCTGTGTCCTTACGAAGTTCCTCCATCATGTCATGGAAATATTTTTTCACCTCCTGCAATTGGTTTTCTGTTTTCTCCTGTATGTTGTTGAGTATTGTTACAATTAATATTCTGAATAATTTTTCTGAAATTTCTATGATATCTTGTATTTTATCCATAGTTGGTGAGGAGTGATGATCCTTTGAGAGGGAGATATTTACTAATTTTCTATTTCTTGGGCTCTGCTTTGATTTTTAGTCTGGTGGTATACTCACTTCTTCCTACTTCTTTGGAATATATTTCTGTAGCTATGTATTTCTGAACTTCTCTTTGATATGTATAAGATTTATGTCAATTTCCCTCCGCTATTGTGGGTAGGAGTGTGGAATCCATAGTAGGAGCTTAGTGTTTAGATAGTCAGAGGGGAGTTTCTCTCCTTTTCTGTCAAGGGAGTTACAAAGAAAGAATTCCTCTGAAATCTGCTATTTTCAGGTGTTTGGTTCTAATATACCTAAATCTAACTGCTCCAAATGTGGGTGGAAGTTGGACAATAGATAGAAAATAAAGTGGTAGACAAGTGTACCACACAGGATAGAGGGCCCCTCCTCTAGCAGGCTGAGTCAGGGTCTTTGCTGATGAGCTCAAGCTGAGTGCCTGACTTGGGTCTGCCTGTTGGTCTTGGATGGGTGAAGGAGAGAATGGCATCAGCACATGTCGACCAGTAGGACCTATTTCTGGACTATTTCTGGAATTGCAGGACCTCCCTGTTGCTTCTTCTTTCTCTGGGATTGCAGGAACCAGCTATTGTTGTTTTGTTTGTTTGTTTGTTTTTGCTATAGGGCGCGTGCGCT